ATCATCAACTAGAATTCCCGATAAATCATCAACTAAATCGTATAATAACCAAGATCTAATGGAGATAAGTGATGAGGAACAAAATGGGAAATCAGCATCATCGTTGGTTATTGTCAAAAAGGACAAGAAATTATCAGCCATTTCGGATGATATAAAACATAGAAAAACTACAACGAATGATGAAACCAAGAAAAAATCAGATAATTCAACAAGAGATGATAAACAACATATTAAAACAAAAAAAGCAAGTGAAGAGGTAAGATTGATAACTATTATTTCAATTATTATCTACGTCTCTCAATTCATTTTATCGTGTACTATTTATGTTTAGAGAGTATCGGAAAAAACAAGCAATTCAGTTATAATAAAAGTTCTAAAGTCTGATACTGATCAAACAGAGCAAAAAAAACAGGAACGAAGTCGTCATGATGACTCAAAAACTCAGATAACAAATTTATCACAAACGTTGAATAATGAATTAAATATCGATGAAAATGAGCGTAGAATAGATGAGAAAAAAAGTCGTCTCTCATCAGCATTATCAACAACGCATTCATCGAACGCTCTTAAAGTGACATCATCCCCATCATATAGAAAATATTCAAATAATCGTCAATCATCACCTCAATATGATCCCTCATCACCATTAGCATCGCCAAAAGAATATGTTTATAAATCAAGCAAACATAGATCGCCTTCGCCAACTATAAAATCGTCCATAAAAAATATTAGACACAAATCCCCTGATCATGAAAGAAAACATCAATATTCTTCATCTTCTTCTAATCAGCACCACCGTTCGAGAACGAAAAATGACAGTGAAATTAATAAAAAAGAATCGTCAGACTCCATTATAGCAACAGATCATTCAAAAATAAGCAAACATCAAGATGAAAATGAGAAAGGAGAAAAGAAACATATTTACAAAGAAGAGAATTTAAGTAAGCATTTCTGTTACATTCAGTTTTACATGAGATATTGTACAACCTAAGCAAAGATGTGAGGATTGTTGAAGCTTCAAAAATTATTTTTAAAAAATTATCAGCTGATGTTAACTTTATGACTCTTTTCATTTATTAGTTATTAAAATATTTGAAAAACTTGTTTCTTGTTCTAGTATCGCCTGAAGGGGTAGAAATTCCAGTAAAAGGACGAAAACAATCAACCGAACAACTGTCCAATACGCGTATTCGCGACAGACGTTCTTCTTCGTCACGTTCACCGTCGCTTAAATCTCCATCAAAAGATTATAATCGAATAACGTTAGATAAACCAGAAATTAATCAACATCGAAAACATTTATCAAAATCTCCGTCGCCATTTCTCGATCGAAACAGTGATATTATAAATAAACAACATTATTCTACTAAAAATGGTCATTCCACTCATACTACTCATCGACGATACAAAAACGAACAACAACAATCATCCCGGTATTATCGACATCATTCACGTTCTCAAACACCAAGAGGTTCAAACTCGTCACGTTCATCGTCTAGAGGAAGTCCCATGACGGCCACAGCTGCATCTTATCCAACACCCTATCATGCTTATCATCACCAAAGACCGGACTCCGCTTTACCAGCTATGCCACCTCATCCGTCGTATTTTCCTACATATTATCATCATCATCACCATCATCATTATCGAGGCAGTCGACGGAGATCACCATCACCAAGGTCACATTATCATTATCGACATTCATCAAGGTTAGTGTGAAATTTAGATTAAAAATAGTTATTATTCGCAGAGAATACTATAACCTATCGATCACTAAGTTACATAATCCACACGGTTATTTGCTTTTACTGAACAATTCATTTAATTTTTTATTTTCTCAATTTAGGCATCGTTATCGTCCTCGTTCAAGCTCATCATCTCGATCTCCAAGCACATTTAATGAACTTAGATATCACAGACGCAGTTCAAGTGATCGATATGCTCGTCAACCGCATCCATCTTCCTCAAGAATTCCTTCTTATCATTATCATCCATCATCACACCATCCAGTTCCACATCATAAAAAACGTTCATCATCATCCGATTCACGTTCGGCTTCTTCAGCTAGATCATCACATTCAAGTCGTTCTTCTCATAGTAGTCAATCTACATACCATCATCGTCATAGAAGTAGACGGAGAACACGAAGTAGAGATACCGGTTATCGTAGAAAACAAACTAAATCAAAATCGCCCACATTTAATGATCTTTTATTGAAAGCATCTAATTCAATCGAATCAATATCAACACAAAAAATTATTCCGCAGAGAAGTAGACATTCGTCTAGTCCGACAGGTAGTAAACGTCAGTATAAAACAAACATATCCTTATTTTCAGACTCGAATAGTTCTTATTTAACGTCCTCTATTGTCTTTGAACAGGTTCCGATATGCAGTTATCTCCAGGTGGTTCTCCTCGACGAGCAATGATCGATAATCTGCCAACACAAAATCACTCGTCATATTATCATCATCATACACCTTACATGCAATATTATGTCGATCCAATCGCAGTTCCACCACCAACTGCTACTATACCATTCCTTTATTCACCCAATGTTCCTCCACCAAATGTGGGTCAGCCAAGATTCACAAATTATATGACAACACTGTTAAATAACTCTAATTATTCACAACAAGAAGAACGAGGTAAGTCGTAAGGCTTAAGTTAGCAATACCATTTTTCTTCAATTTGATTAAGTATTAACTATCTTGTTCCTTCATTTAGTCCGTGAGTTTGATCAACAACAATTGCAACCAAACGATAGTTGGCCGTTAAATAAAACCCAGCGTTGTTTAAAAGAAGTAAAACCGATTGTGAATGATGAATTATCTCGAGTAATCGTGCGAGATGGACAACTGGTCGAAATAAGTGAAGCCCAATCAACAATTAAATCACCAAAATTATCATTACATGATGGCATTAGTCAGAGTAGTGTAGATAAACAAAGTGTAAATGAAAGTGACAATATTCCAAATGAAAACTCGTTATTGATAAAAACAGAGAGTTCAATATTGGACGAAATGAAACAAACTAAACCAACATTACAATCAGTCATCGTCAGTAACAATAGTAAGAATGACGACATAAGACTAATCGTTTTGTCAAATATTTACGTACAAAGGGGAAACTATAGTATTCATACCAAAAAATTTGTCAATAAATCGCCATACTTGTCTTCATTACAACTGATTGTCTTTGATTTTTAATTTTGTTCTTTTTAGATCGTTCATCAAAATATTATCCTGCATCAGACCTAAAATCATTGCATCAGAAGTCTCGTAAACATTCTCAAGATGTACTACCCATATCTATCTCAAAATCATCCGTAATTGACGAAGACAATATTCCTTGCAATTCAACCAATTTATCTATACCATATACTTTAATTGAAGATAATATTTATATTTGTGATCGTTCAACTCGACGAAATCGACTGAATCATGAAGTAATGGAATGTGAATGTTCGACAAGTGAAGAAGAACGATCAATGGGTAAGTTTGTTAATTATTAATTGTATTTGATATTGAACGATAACTGACTATGATGACTACAATTTTAATCTTCAAGGTATATTTGCTTGTGGTGATGAATGTCTAAATCGTTTACTCTTAATCGAATGTGGACCAACGTGTCCATGTGGTCATTATTGTACAAATAAACGTTTTCAACGTCATTCTTATTCTGAATCGTGTGTATTGTTTAAAACTCAAATGAAAGGTTACGGTATTAAATCGACAATGTTTATACCAAAGGGACAGTTTCTAGTCGAGTACATTGGAGAAGTAATTGATATGGATGAATTATCCAAAAGATTTAAACGTTATAAACGAGATCAACGACAACATCAATATATGATGTTTTTATCATATGATACCGTCATTGATTCAACTATTAAAGGTAAACACTAGATTATTGCTCTTTTTTGTCTCTCATGTATATTTTTGATCTATCTCAGGTAACTGGGCACGATTTATCAATCATAGCTGTGAACCTAATGCTATAGCTGAATCATGGTTAGTCAATGGTGAATTACGAATGGGATTCTTTTCCAAACGTGATATACATCCAACTGAAGAAATAACGATCGATTATAAATTTGAAACGTATGGGTGTGCAGATGAAAATGAACGAGGAGAAAAATGTTATTGTGGAACAAAATCATGTCGTGGATATATTAGTGTCAGAAATAATAAACAACAACCACAATCGGCAGCACAAAGAGGTAAACTAGCAGAATCAATTATTAGCCAATACAAAATTTCGTTTTATTTTCTCTTCTTAATTTAGATTCAAAATTAAAACAGCCTCTAACAAAACGTTCACAACAACAAGAACCAGAATTACTCGAGCAACTTCAGTATAAAGATGAATTAATTATTCCTAAAAATATTGATGAAATTCGTCATATTATTCAGATAATGTCCCGTAGTGAAAGTGAACATTTACGAACGTTATTATTAGATTTAATTGAAAGAGGTGAACAACGTCAACAAGAAATACCAAGATTGTTTTTGGAATGTAATGGTTTGAGAATTGTATGTGCTTGGCTAAAAGATTTTGATGATGAAGATGATGAATATTCAGATATATTTCAATTAAAATTATTGGATTTACTACAACGTTTACCAATTAAAGATCGAACAACAGTTATTAAAAATGGAATTATGGAACAAATTGAAAAGAAGATAAAAATGACCAAAGATGTAACAGATGA